ACTAGTAAGCTTCTGGGACCTGACCTGGTTCGGGGCATTTGTTACGCGCGCATTCTCGACCTTCTGCCCCTCCTCTCACCCTTGCTCTGCTGTGGCTGGTGGCTGGTAAATCCAATGGCTAGCCGCTAGCGTTCCTTGCCCTTGTCTTTTCCTCTGTCTCGGCGACGTCATCGTCGTCTTCTCTCAACCCAACTCAAGGCGCGGTTGCCCGGTGGACCTTGATGCGATCGTGATCCCGCTTGACAACCCTGCAGCTCAAACCAACCCGTGGCATTATCGCACTTCGCCATGGCCGAGAGATGGGATAATGTGCATGGCTTTCTGGTATAGCTTATGACCCGCACTCCAAGTGTACGCCTCCAGCCACCGGAGAACAATCAACTTTTGTTGTGTAATTCTCTGTACGTAAGAGCGTGACTTCAAGTTGTTGAGTCTGAACTTCCATTCTTGAGGAAATGCGCCTTCCTAAAAACAACTCAGGCGTACGAAGCGACACCCTGACCAAATAAGGTAGTCACCATGAGAGGTATCTTTCGATACCTTGGGCAAGGCGAAAATAGAGCACAGCTGATTGACCATCGGAACTATTATACTTTACCAAGGTTGCCGGATAGCTAAACATCGCATAGGCATTTCAAAAGTCACATTGCCTTACAATCGTACAACAATGATCAGTAGTCATTCTGTCGAGAATGTCATCCTTTAGTTCAACCACTACGACAAAGTGCAACGATGACTGGGTAAAGACGTGGGTCTCGTCCGCCAAGCCTAATAAGGAAGGCGGATAGTGCTCCGTAGACTGCCTTCCGCATGTGACATGGGCGACGTTCTTTTCGCCAAGCCCTACGATCCTCTATGAAGACGAGTCGCTTAGGATCCATCCGTCCTTACCCAAAAGCGACTCATAGAATTGGATTTCAATCGAAGTACAGAATCTCATGGTACCGCAGCGACTGACTCACCCAAGTCCGCACGTGGAAGCCTTTCGGCTTTAATCAAATCCAAGAAACTCAGTCCATGTTATACATCTTTCCCACAAGTGCACAAGTGAAAGGCTTCAATTGTCTCTGGATACGAAGACAGCCCCGCTGTGGCCGTCAAACGACACGAACAAACGACGAAACTAATGTGGCAGGCTGAGTAATCCCTCCCGACTATCATGCAATATAGAAGTACTGTCAGAGCTGATTGGCCACTTAGCATCGCGGATAGCCGAAGAGAAAGGCTATCAACTTCTTCAAAACTATATGGCTCCAGGCACGCTGCGTGATCATTCGCTGTGAATAAGACATTTGCCTGTTGAGTGCACAGCTCATGTCTGTCAGAGTCGCATTCATCCACGAAAGTAGACTACCATTGTTCAATCGCATTGGAGGGTGATGTCTAGTCTTCTAGGCAACCAATTTAATTTCACGTCACAAACTCCGCTGAGTGAATACTTAAGCCTCGAAATCTCCAAATCAGTGTTCAGAATATCATGTCATACCCTTCAAGACTCCAATCAATCTTGATAATCTCACAGAAGACCAACAAGATGTATCTCAAATCCCTCATCATCGCAGCCCTCGGCCTAGCCCCAACAGCCGTCCAGGCAACCTACCCCTTCTCCAACCCAGGCGACCTCGCCGCCGCCGACAAATTCGACTACATCCGCCAAGAACACAACGGCGTGGTCCAAACCGTCAGCAACGTAGTCTACAAAGGCACCACCGCCCTCAAAATGACACAGACCTACGACCCTTCCTACACGGGGCGCTACCACTCCGAAGTCGACGTCAACGACGGCTACACCCGCGGTCAGGACCGCTTCTACGGCTTCGCCTTCCGCCTTTCGGAGTCATGGCAATTTCAGCCGCAGTCGTACAATATCGCCCAGTTCATCGCCAACCGCCCCGGTGCGGGCTGCGGCGGGGATGATTGGATGCCGTCGAGCATGCTCTGGCTCGAGGGCGACCAGCTCACGTCGAGGATCGTGAGCGGACGGTATCGCCAGCCGGATTGCGGGCGGAGTATTGTAAAGTATGGGAACTTGACGACGGTTGAGCGCGGGGTGTGGCATCGGGTTGTGATTCAGGCTAGTTGGCGGAGTGATGCGACTGGGTTTTATAAGATTTGGTATGATGGAGTTAAGGTGTTGGAAAAGTACAACGTTGCGACGACGGTGAATGATGATAGTACTTTTCAGTTCCGTGTTGGGTTGTATGCGAATAGTTGGTACGATCAGGGCAAGTTGGATGGGGATCAGGGGTTCCGCCAGGTGTGGTTTGACGAGATTGCTGTTGATTCGACTTACAAGGCGGTGGACCCTGATCAGTGAGTTGAGTTGGAGGGCCAGTCGGGCGATGGGAAGAAGCGCTTACCTTTGACTTAGTGCACGAGACAATCTCGGGAATCTTTTCCGTTATCCTCAGATACCTACGCAGCTCACGTAAGGTACTAAAGTAGTAACCTCGTATTGAGAAACATGGGATGTCAATATTGAAATCAATAGTTCTACTTATCCCATACTGTGCCCGCAACGTATGACGAGCCGCATTCTCGGCATGACCAGAACATTTACATTGTAGCTCTGAAAGACTTCTCTCTATTGTTGAAGTTTGCGTCATGTTACTCGTCAATACAGCCCGCGCTGGACAACGACAAATATTACATCAATCCGGCCAACGAGCCAGAGAAACAGGTCTCAGTGCTAATCCTGATCAGATGCAGGATTTACGTGGAGAGTAGATTCTGTTCCAGTTCAAGAGTCTGTCGAAACACCCGAAGCAGCCGTGGACGAAGGTCTTCTCCTAAGGTATGAAGTGGTGCTGAGTTCTATGGTGGCCCTGAGCACAATTCGATGACACTAGTCAAGGCGTAATTTACAAAATACCCTGAAGATGCGGCCAAGGTAGTCCTTTGTATCAAGGGTGGCATGAAGCCCGGCTCGTGCGACCTTGGTAGCTCTGCCGGAGGGACTCGTCGCTCCATCGAAAATATCCTGACGCAGATCAGCGGCACGACAAAGTTGGATATCTGGATGCCGGGACGTAGGGATCCTAAAAGCCCCTTCACATCACCAGCACGAGAGTACATTGAAGGTGGTCAATTAGGTGGCGTTTGACTCTCCGAGATTGGCTTGCCAATACTGCGGGAGGCAATCAAAGCTGGCAAAGTTGAGGTCGCGGAGCTCAAGCTTACGGAACAGAGATATCGCTATGTTATATCCAAGAGGCTGCTCTCATCTTTCTCACTGATGTATTCAAGTAATTCACCTACATATCCAAAAAATACCCACAGACTGAGTTATTGCGACTGAGTATTTCGACTATCTATGCTTCGGCGGCAGAGAAGCCGGCAAGTGCATAGCATGAACACTTTCGTCCAAGCACGGAAAAAGGTATGCGGCCATTGAGCGCATGTATATCGGTAGGTTCGGCCCCAACATTGCGTGTTTGCCGGCGAAGAGCTCTGTTCACTCCGCTGAAGCCGCTCACAATATACAGCAGGCAGAGTCGTATGGACTGGGTGTTCCCGGCGCCAGCGGTGTGAGGACTCTAAGATAGACATGGCAGCACCTCAAAAACGTAGAATGTACATGGTCAAGGACTTGCAGGATTTTCACCACGGAAAGTTCAATGCCCCAGATGTGGAGCTCATCATCGGCAAAGGAAAGTTTGTTGGCCCTGAAGCGATTGAAGTGAATGGTTGTCGCCTTACCGCAGAGTATGTCGTTGTCAAAACGGGATCTCGGGCTCAGATCGACAGCAGAGTGCCTGATCTGGTAGATGCGAACCCGTTGACTCACGTCGAGCTACTGGATTTCGCAGTTTTGCCGTCGCATCTGATCATCATCGGAGCCGGCTACGTTAGCATGGACTTTGCACAAGTCTTCCAGAGGTTCGGATCGGAAGTCACCGTGATCGAATACTAAGAGATTCTCGGCCGAGAGGACCGTTATGTTGTCAATGCATTTGCTTACATCATCTCAGGAGAAAGTGTTCGATCGTTATATCTGCCGATCTCGAACATGTCAATGGCTTGTCTAGGGATCATGTAGAGATTACTGTAACAAGCGGAAGCGAGAGTCTTGTGATTGATGGCTCGCATATACTGGTTGCGACAGGTCGGATTTCTAGCACCGCCAACCAAGGCTTTCAGACAGCTGGGGCCAAATGAATTTCGGAGGGACATGTCCAGATGGATGAGCAAAGGAGAACTACCGCCGAGGGTGTATTTGCTGTCGATGACTGCACTGGGCCTCCATCCTTCACCCATATCGGACTTGGCGACTTTCGAATTTTCCTGTCGTACATTCTGGGAGACTCTCTGTCTGGTGGCACTGATGGTTGCCAAGTCTTGTGGACTTTGTTCACATTCCTTGCAATTGCAAATGTGCGTTTGCGAGAGAAGATGCACAGACAAAAGGTATCAAATACTGCTCAGACGAGATTCTAATGGCAGCATTCTTGCGGACTCGAACGCGGAGAGACTCCTGAGCATTCGCAAAAGCACTCATTGATTCTGATGGCGAAAGAACCCTAGGCTTCACAGCCCTGGGTCATGGGGTTGATGACCTACTACCTGTTGTTCAACTGGCAATAAAACATGAGTTGTCCTATAAGGAGAAAGCATCCCCAGCCATTACGCATCCCACACTAAGCGAGGGATTGGTAACACTTTTGATTTTTCGTAAATGATGGTCTACGCTGTTCTCAAACTCTTATAAATATTTGATCTTGCAGCGTACAGAACCTAACTACAAGTTGTCCGACATACGCTCGCTACTTTACTATCACCCAAGTGCTTCCTTATAGGACATGCAAGTATAAAGTGTTCGAAAGTGCTTCACATAGCATCAAACATACCTTTCCAAATCTTTAGTGTTAAGCGTTTGCTTGAACGGGTAGGGAACCCTTCATGTGATCTAAGCCGGGAGTCATCCTATCAATACTGGAATTGACGCGCTGTGATAATTTTATATTCAATGAAGGCACTATAGGCTCCTAGACCCCATTCTTTCATTCTACCCCCTCTGGTGAACCTGGCACTGTCTTATCTTGCGGAACCAGATGCAGTTTTGGTGATTTGGGCTGATCACCCCCGAGCACATACGACGCAACAAACTTGATCGGGATATATAGATCATCATCGTAATCATTCACAGTAACCATGGGCAGGATAAAACTGCATTCTCGCATGTGCCCAATCGTTACATAACCTTTGGTCGAACGCGGAAGAAGTGTGAGATCGAGTGTAGCAGTGCCTTGACTTGCAATAACGTTAAAGCGAAGGTTCTGGAGCATACTCGGTCCAGGACCATGGTAGGAAGAGAGCAAAGCAGGATTTTGACGATCATTGGCGGGACCCATAGGAATAGAGATGGTGATTTGGCCAAGTTGGTGCGGGTACATATAGGGTTTCTTTGAGTCCATGACGGGGATCCGAATAGCAAATATGAGATCGAGCGGATAGGGGGACTTGGTAGGAATAGCGCCGAAAGGAGACATCTGAGGATAGACTCTAACAGTGAAAGGCGGAGGCTTTCCGGCGCCCCCGGCGTCTTCGGGAGATGCTAATGCTAACATAGCCATAGATCGCATAGCAGCTACCCTCCTGACTGGAGCTATTGGCGGTAATGATTCTATTTCTTCTCGCTCAGGAAACAACTGAAATGTTGACAGCAGACTTGGAAAGTGAGGAGGAACCTCTTGTGGAAGATCCGCAATGACTTTCGTTGAAAGTGACTCTGTTGATGAGAGATCTGCATGCAAAGTCGAAACATTTGGGAAGAACTCTGTCCTCTCTGCAGTGGGGTCTACTTCCATGAGACTGAAACTTGGATGCCTTATCGTCTCTGCGTTTGGGTTCAAGGAAAGGCGGTCCGAGGTCAGTCCAAGTTGATAGACGTGACTACCCAATTGATATCCGATCAGGCTTGAGGTCACTTCGTCGTCGTCAAAATAAGTTTTAGGCTCAGTGCCATCGTGCTGGATGATATCCTTGACTTCATTTCCGAAGGCTGTCAGGTTCAAAAACCTCAATTCACTGTTCTGGCCCCAGATGAATATTTGTCTCGATGGATGTGTATGAGCATCAGCATAGAATGTCTGTTTTGCAATAGTCTCGTATTTCGAATCTCCACGCGGTTTGGAAAACGTCCGTGTGAAGGATATAGTCAATTGCGTAGCAGAAAGGGTATCCCCGAGTGCAAAGTATTGTTGGTGCGCCGGCTGAGTAAACGTTAAGGTATGCAGACTCTTGGACCCAGGCTGACGATCGAAAAGGCACAGAATCACATCGTCGGCAATCCTCTCTTGTCGTAGAATTTCCGCTCGCTCTTCGGCGTGCGGCCCATCGTCTTTGCTGGACGATCCAGAAGGAATTGGTGCCGTGATAAGCAGATCCGGAAAGTCTTTTACAATCTTTGAGCGAAGCAATAGTCCGTATGTCGGCACTTGTGGCCTGTAACCGACATCGGGATCTACTGTTGAGAAATATTTGTTGAAAATACCCTTGATAGATCTTCGCAGACTATCATCGTTGCGTTCAATATGGTTCGCCACTCCCAAGGCTCCGTCGATGACCGCTTCTACCCAATGTGGATCAATGTAGAAGAACCGAAGCGACTCGGCTGGAAGCCAAGACGGCTCAACGAGCAGATTTTGGGCAGGGATTCCGATGAGAAACATTCTGTGCATGATAAAGGTCATGACTGTAACCCAGTCCGATGACCTTGGCAGGTTGAGCTCGTTGTATAGTCGTGCGCCAGTCTCGTCGTCGCTACCCGCGAGATGGCGAATGTGTTCGTCGACCACGTCTTTCATGGTAGAAACAATACTTGGATTGGCGAGAGACAGATCAACAGGTTGGGTCAAGGGCTTTTCGGTTGCACCACTTGTGGGCTGATCATGCGACGAGGGAGCAAGAGAGCCTGCCTCAGCATCCGCAAGCACCTGAAGAGACTTTGCCAGCGACGAGATTGTGTCTTTGGTAGACTTCCACGCATCATGCTTCTCCATTTCCTTTTCCTTGCCGCGTCTCAAAGCCATCGCTGCAATGACTGATCGCAGACGCGAAAGTGCAATTGTGAAAGAACGATCCGCGAGTGCGAGCGTTCGACCAAGATTCCACGCCATTGAGTAAGTCAGGTCCATGAGGCCGAGGTCCTTGTCCAAGATTTGCAAGTTACTTCCGCTGAAAGAAAGAGACGTCCAGTTCTCACTGAGCTTCTTGGGAGGAACACATGGAATGCATGCTCCGCGAGCAATGGCAGCTGTTTCTTCGCCGGTTTGGGTGCGGTATTTGACGATTGTGTAGCCATCCCTCAATCGCGCAGCTATCCGCTGCCCACTCTCTGACGTGTCTTGCCCAGCTTTCTGAATAACTTCTTTAGGAGGTCCGAGTACTGCGCAATGATCACCCAGATTCCTGAGTGAATCAGATACAGAGGGTGCCCCCGCTGGCAAAACGTTATACGACCACGAGTATAACGATGAGAGCATGATGTAATCACTTGAAGCAAAGTCGGCGCGAGACTTGTCATGTAGACCTTCAAGAGAAACCAGGTGGACGATAGCACGCGATATTTGTTGATTGTCCAGTGGAGCTGCGCGATGGGAGTGAACGACGCTGAACAAGCCATCTTCGGTCGACGAGAAGTTGGCGCCTTTTGCAGCCGATTGACGAACGTGTGCAAGGTAGGTGTATCGACTAAGATCTATCGATTTCTGGTCGACAATCTCCTCACCGCGCTCGTTATAAGTCGCGATTAGCTGAGTAAATAGAGGTCTTGGGACAAAAATGGCCTTGGTTCGATCATCGCTCTTCGCTGACAGTGGCACGGGAGACCAGGATTTGGCCACTTTGCCAGGAGCGAAGTCGCTGACGGGCATGTCAATGGCGCAATTGACGTCCATTTTAATCACGTTGCCAGTTGTGCCCAGCTCCTTAGCAAGGTCCGAGTTGGTGAAGATGCTGCTTGTACCCATGAGCTGGTCCTTGTCGAGCCGAAGCTCGGAAGCACTGAAGACAAGAACGGCCAGCCATGGCACGCGCTTCCTTAGATTGTCCTTTTTCAGTTCCTCTGGAGTCTGTGGCACTGCCGTACGCTCCCATGGGAAGAAAGGATCCGTGAATAAGACATGAGGCAAGATGGTAGGCGATGCCTCAGCTCCCTCTGGCGGGTAGATGGAATGGACGAGATTTTCTGGCAGAGTATATTGCGGTGACTCAACGTTAAAGACCTTCTTGGTCTTGGTCGTATCGGGATCCTGTTGAACGCCATTCGCAACGATCTCCTGCCACGAATTGACTTCATAACGACCACTGGCGAGGCTTGGTGTGAAAAACGAGTATAGCATCGCCTCGCCAGGCTTCAAGGTTTTCAAGTTCGGGACCTCATTGTCACCTGTTGCGACAGCAGCTTCTGTTGAGGCAGCGAGATTTGCTGCTTTGACTTCCTGCGCTCGTCGCAGGGTGAGATGTCGGGGACTGCTTAGGATGTCTTGCGAGAGAACCATGGCGCTTTCTGATCGCTACGTTGGCCTTTGATGAACGATCGACCCAATTTGTCCTCAAGTTTTTTCAAATGTCATGGAAAATCACTCAAATGCTGCAGATAGTTACAATGGTGCAACTACGTCGGTCCTAAGGCCCTGATCTTCTCGCGCCTGTCGCCAGTTGCCAAGTCGCCAGCGCTGATGTAAACTGTGCATAAAAACGACGGAAAACACTTTTCCGTGAGGCCAAACCTCTTCTGGCTGTAGTTTAGGTGCTGAACCCGGTCTCTCGCTTGCGCCAAAATTATGCAATGTTCTTTCCTGAATCAGTGACTGAGACAGACCGGAAGGGGCATAGTTTCTGGCATTGGAGCTGTTTCTGAGACAAGAGTTGGGCAGCAGAAGGGTGCCCAACTGCCAGAATCCATCGCCGGGACTAATTCCAGGGCAAAAAACAGTGTAACAGCGCTGGCCCGTCCCTACGGCCCAATACGGTGGTACAACTGTTAGTGGGCAGTGGTTTGGATCAGTGGCTTCGTACCTCTGGCGAATGGCAATTGGTTACTGATTGCGAGGAGATCAAGGTCTAAGACTGGGCTGGGGCGGCTGAGTCCACTTTCTGACACAGCTGTGTGCAGAATAAGTGTGTTCTAGACAGTTTGACTGCTACGCAAGTCATCGGAGGTCCAATCCAAGACTCTCCTCCTTTTCTTTTTCATCCAGTTTTTTTCAGCTGCAGACCGTATAACGCTTCCGGACGGGATTAAACGGCCAGAGTGGGATGCATGCATAAGGTAGGTGGCGCGCCGAGCCGCGCTGAATGTGCCCCAGTTTGTGCGGGGTATGGACATGCAGATACATACATTTCAGCAACGCCACATTCCATAGTTTCGACTACATGTGACTGTTCAATGCATTTGAGACTATTGACCTACGCATCGGACATGCATGGATCTTGTTCGGCGTACAGTATGAGTGAACTGTGGTCTTTCCAAAAGGTCGCTACGCATGTTGCTTTGGTGCTTTCCCCAATAATGGATCAAGCACAATGGACCTCCATGAATACGTAACTGGAGTATAGATACGTATACCAAGCTGAGCTGTATACAGACTTGCAAGCCGTTGATGATACGATATGAGACTGATATATTAAGAACAAAGTTTCTGCCGAAGACCATCATAATCTCAACTCACCCACGGCGTATTCTACGCGTTTTCATCTACGGGATTTCCCTCTTCAAAGACATTACAATGACCTCTGCATACACCACGTTATGGAAGCCAGGCGCTTCTCAAAAGCTCTTCATATTCGGAGTTTCAACGAACAGCTACCTCACTCTTCGTGAATTCGACACATCCATTCCCAACAACACTCAGTTAGGCCCTGCTACCGATCCCACCTCGGTGCCCAGTACGGGTCTGATCATCCCAGACACAAGCATTGCAGCTATCAGCTACGGTGGACTTGTAAGCGTCCTTTGTTTATATGATATGATGGCCTTACGCTCTAACATGTAAACCGCCAGACCCGGGTGTTTGGCTTCATCGCCACTAAAGCAAGTGATGGTACCCAACAGACTTCGCTCTATCAGCTCAGCCCAGTATGGCAAGCTGTCAAAGCGGGTACGTCTAAGACGAAGAGTACAGCTGCCGTAGCTGGGAAGATGACTGATGGTGAAGTTGGCTATGTGTATTACATGTAAGTCAATTACCTTAGTACATATAGTACAGCGGCACGTATGATACAGACAAACTAACGTGCGCAGTGAAGTGGTTGGGAAGGTCATTGAACAATCATTGACGTGGAAGAACCCTTACATCGTGCAAAACCAACAACTGCACAAAGCCACCTATTTGGCCGCTTGCCTGACCGAAAAGGGCGGCAGGTTCATTGCCTACCAACTGGATACTAAATACATCGAGGTGTACGACGTATCAGGAAAGCATCGTAAGAACATGGCCTTTCCCCCCCTTTGAACCAACAACCATATATGATACTGACAAGAACCCGTGCAGCATGTGGCCAGCTCGTGGGTACCGGCAACGCTAAAGAGTCGACTCCCTTGGCAATTGTCTCTTATTCTAAAGTCGGAGAGAACAAGTCATACATCAACGTCTACTGGCAGCAGACGGGCACGGACAAACTTTGGCGCTCGCAGAGCGAGGACAATGGAAGCAACTGGACTGACAAGATTCTTAGCAATGCTGATTCGCCTGATGGATCATCTATCAGTGCCATCTTCGATGGAGTTGCTCAAAAGGTTGTTCTAACCTATCTCTATTCTGCACAGGACATTAAATGCTGGGATGACGAGGTTGTCTGATGGAACCTCGGAGTTAGTACAGCTATGGGCAGGTTTCGCAGAAGACTTTTTGATCATTGTGTTTCTTGGTTAAATATGAAATGAAGAAACGCACGATCATGGACTAGTTACTTGTTTACTCAAGATCCGCTAAATGTGCCTGATTTGTTCGTAATGCATCGTAGCCTGCGTTGCAGAAGCAGGACGAATGGACTGTGTGCAGGTATATATAGGTTGTAAAACCCCCCCCCAAGACTTCAACTCCACTCCCCTCTCTTCTTCTTATCATCCACCGACAAAATGGCGGGCGTTCTTTTTGTCCCCATGAAAGTAGACGCCTTCATACTGAATGAGTCTATCTGCACTAGCCATGAGAGCAATCAAGCAAAAATTGCCCCAATTACTCAGCCGAACTATACATTTCTTCGCTATGACACCAAATACTTGGCTGCGGACGTCCTACGCCACACAGACATTCATGCTTCTGGCGACCCTAAAACAAACCCACGTTTTACGAATCTCGGTACTGGAGACCCGATACAGGGCAGACAAGGCGTCTATATACACTGGAGCATGCCAAGACCATATCGATCTGGACGCCCGGCATCTCCACAAGGTGCTGGCGGAACCCCTTCAAGTCCTTCAGTCCCTCCTACGAAAGAGCCAGCACCGACGCCATTTTCACCCGTGCCTACGCGGTGGATCGTTATTCGTCACTGCGAGCTGGCGGAGAAAAACGACTCCGTACCTCCGTTGGCTGCTTGGGTTGTGGAGAGTGATCATTGCCAAATGATCGACCAGCTCGACGACAGTACGGATCTTCAGACTGATGTATCGCCCTTTATTGCTGCAGCAACACAAACCACTGGTGTCGGAAAAGAAGTTGTCGACACAGTAGACATCGACAAGCAAGCCGAAGTCTTCATCGGATCCAAATCGAATGCCGAGACGTGGACGAGCACGGAATCGAACAAACGCAGCCGCATCAATATTGACCTAACGAAAAGCTCAAACCAACTTTTCCCAGACTTCCAACCGCACAACACAAATGTCTTCAGCATGATCGACGATCTTCGTATTGGAGATGAGCTGCAGCGCATCCACAAAGCTAAGTTGAGCTACTTTGTTCTGGGTTTCCACCGCGACAGTAAACAAGATCCACTCGCCAGTCCTGGGGCATACGGCACTCGTGATGCCCTATTGAAAGCTCTGAACATGGAAGTCATGGGAGCCGAGTCTAATAGCAGTCTTCGGAAGTGGCTGGACTTGCCCGATGCAGCCAATACTATATGCCATGGTGCCAAGTACGATGTGGAGTGGGATGTCTCGTCTCGACCCAAAGTCGTTGCCGATGAATTATGTGCGAAGTTAATGAAGGATAAGTCAGTTTCCATTGGTGTTACGCCTCTGGACAGCATTATGGCGCATGTTCACGACCAAGCAGCCAACGGCCCTCCCGAATTCGAGCAAGTTTATAAAGATATCTTGCAGATGGAGAAGCTCCTCATTGCCCAAGACGAAGACGTGGAAGCACAATTACGAGCCTCTACTCTCATCGAGGATGCGAAATTCAAGCGTCAAGAAGGCGGCAAGCGCTTTGTATTTGCCAATACCAAAGATGAGAACCAGCCTACAGGTATCAGCAAGCCTGAAGACCAGCCTGCACAGAGGCTTCCCGAGAAAGACGAACTGCTGGATCTGCTCGCACTAAACCGCGATTGTATCGTGAACGATACAGCCCTGCGATTGAAGCAGTCTCGCCAGTGGGACATGTTCTCACTGTGGTGGCTCTTCCTTCGCGATCGCGACAGTCTAGTGCTGGAGAGGCAGCCGAAACATGAGAGAGAAACTCTTCGTTCCAGTATCGAGGCTCTGGGCAAGGCGAGTGAAGATCTCAAGGCCAGTATACCCATTCATGGCAAAGACAGCCATCTGATCATGCCGCCGGTCATTGGTCAGCTGTCTGATACTCAAAAAACCCGAGCAAAATTGGTCCATACTTTGCAAGGCGGTGTCGCGAAGCCCTTTTTTCAACCCTGCGATCCGACGCTCATGGTGTCGTGCATTCCATCGAGTTGGCCCAAAGACTTCCTCGATCATCTCAAAGTCCGTCTGAACACTCAATGCCCGTTCGATGGCAAGATGAAATCTTTAGATGCACCATGGGAGACATTCTTCGACGACGTACTTGAGAAATGCTGTCCTTCAGGCCTGGCTCTAGATGCTAAGCGATTGGTCGAAGAGTTCGCCTCCTTACAGAAAGATCGAGGATCGTTGGACTGTCCTAAAGACACGTTCTTGCCTTTGTATCATGATCGCGAAGTCAAGTCAAACGGCGAAGCAGATGAGACGCGTTGGCGAGACAGATGGAACTCAGAGCAGCCATTCTTCCCTCTGTACCTGGAGTGGGATATTGAGTACTTTCATGTTCCTTACAGGTTCTGGCATTTTAACGATACCACCAAAGACGGCTTGAAGCCATCTCAGGCCCGATACTCGTTGGACGCCAAGGCATACCTAGAATACAGGGCAAGCCGGAAGAAGGATGATCGACGAACGCTGTCAGGGAGGTCTCTTATACTACCCCAACCGACCTTTTCCCTGGAGTCCAAAGTTCGCAGCCTTTTCTCCCAACTCTCCGACACCGCGCTGAATGAGATCTTGCCAGAGAAGGATCGGGAACTTTTACTGAATTCTGTGCGTCAGTTACCCTACTTGTCAGCTCCTTTGACTGGCTTGACCGACCATCTCCTCACTCGTTTGCATGGAACGCATGTTAAACCCAACAATCGACCAGCAAACGCTTTGTCGACCGAATCAGTCCCCATTGCCGCTGCTGTTCCTAATGATCCTCAACAGATAGCAAACTTTGAGGCATGGGACCTGAAGCTTATTGGAGGCGAATCGGACCTTACTCCTTATGGATCCAGTGTCGAACTCAGTGGCAGTTCGTTTGCTGCTTTCAAGCCGGTAACCCACGGTCAATTCTTCATCAAAAAGCTCAATATTATCGATAAGTTCGGCCAAGTCATTCATGCTGTTGATCCAAGCGTCTCGGCTTCCAAGAAATGGACAGTGCCGTCATGCGGTGAGTACTACACGGCCGATTCAATCTTTGGTGGAAACAAAAGTCCTGGTTCCGGAGACGACACCATGGTTCCCAGCGAAGCCTGGGTTCAGATCCCACCGCAAATCAACCAGTTCTCACGCCTGAACTCGGCGTTCGTCACGCTGACAGATCCCGGGGAAGGTCGTGACCTGTATTGGAGACCAACCAACGAATGGGAGAACCCGGTTTGGGGATGGGTCGTGATCAACTACGCCAATTATGGACTCCAGTTCTTCACCGGTGATGGTAAATTCTACCGTGACGTGCGTGTAGGCGGGCCAGAGGGCTCACTTGCTTCGCCAGAATGGCTCCCCTTCGAACCGCCCAAAGTCGATCCGGCCAAGGATAAGCATGTTCAGTATACCCAACTCCAGCGCCTTGTATCCGAGATGATGAAGTCTGCGGATTATCTCCGAGCTTTCATTCGCATGCTCGACGACTCTATGGCGACGCTCTTGCCGGCGCCGTCAGGCTACTCGGAGCAATGGGGCACTGTCACCGGACGCCCGTTGGCCTTGGTCAATACGGGATGGTCCTTGGAATTGGCAGTACAGCCATATGTCAAGCAAAACCTTCGTGGAGACTTGGCCAAGGAACCTCTGATCCTGGCCGACGCTGACTCTTTGAGTCGCGACCAGGCCAATCTTGACGGCTATTACGACTTCCCTGTCAAATTTGGATCAAGGGAGAAAGCTCACGATGGACTGGTCGGTTATTTCGCCGCCAAGGAGAAGGAGGATGATGGACTCCGATTAGAGGATGGATTGCTTCTGGACCAAATCTACACCTACTATGGACATAACGATCAGCAGGACAAGCCGGGAGAGGCGGGACTGCAAGCCTCCGAAAAGCAGCCGTTGCGGCGTCTGGGAAGCAAGAAGCAACGATTACTCCCGTTCTACTTCAACCCTACGACTCGAGAGGCGACAGACTTTGACATACTTCGATGTCGAGAGCAGACGATCTTTGGGGCAATCATGGATCCATTTGCAAGCATACACGCTTACACCAGCATCCTTCCCGTCCAAGAACTTCGTCTACCAACATGGATCATCAACGAAGCCTTTTCCGACATGTCCGTATTCTTCAGTCTTGGACCAATCTTGCTCCCCAAGAGCATCCCAGATTTCGACGACAAGCAGCAGCAGCCCGTCGGCACGGACCCGTTGCCCAGTGCCGGCCAGCAGCTGAGCCTAGGCGTGCCAATCCCTGCATCTACGCTGGGAACTTGGAACTGGTTGCAGCCGTACTTCACCTCTGATACGCCCGCTACGGCTACTGATGCGGCAATCAAGTACACGCGGATGAAAGTGGACAAGGTGGATGAGCGCATGCGATTCGAGAAGTCGCCATACACGGCCGCTGAGGGGTTCTTGCAGCTGACGAGACAGCGGTGAGGTTGCATACTTAGGTAGGTGTGTGGCTGGCTGAGTAGGACCTTGGAATTGATTGATTTTGGACCCTTGCTCATGTGGCTGGCTGATATGTCGTCTATTGACTTTTCCTTCGTTTCCGAATAATTGTTCTCTCCGCATCCCATGCCGCTGGCTGCAATCGTCTGTGACTGTATAAGTTGTGCCGCAGCATAGGGCCTTATATTGCCAATGTGGCTGGTTGATATGCTGTCTTCAAGTCCTCTTTCTGTCTGATCTGCATAAATGTTCTCTTCGCATCTCATGTGGCTGGCTGCAAATTTCTGTGGCTGTATAAGTCCTGCTGCAGCATGGGCGTTGCTGCATTGACTTAATCATTGGTTTGCAAAAGGTCCTCAGGTCTCAGCCATCAGCCATGATGTCTCACGGCCCGCCCATGTCGGCCACACCGCCTCCGCGCGCCACATATTCTGCTTTATTGCTTCGTTGCATGCATTAGCCAAGGTGTCTCAGCTACGTGTAATACAGCCCGCCTTCTGCACTGTGATGCTTTTGGAATCCTTGTATCACCATGCCCGAGAAGTCCCGCTACCTTCTAATCGAAGGCCGTACCGTCATCCCCCAGTGCTGCTGTGGATAGCGAGACTGGTAGTCAATCTTCACTAGGGGTAGGAACTTGCAGCTATAATCCTTAGCGTTATACTGGAGTGTGCGAGGTGTACCGAAAATGATGACACTCAGATCCTATCTGCGTTATCATTTTTTTCTCGCGAGTGCAAATTTCGTTATCTGCATGAAATAGTTGCTCGCCCATACTATCTGCAATTCCAGCTCGAACTTTGTCTGTTCTGTAGTTCCACGTCACAGAAGACACGTACATCATTGTCAGACTGTCGTAATGGCATATCGAGTCGACAGCTACCACATTAACATAGGGGTAGGGGACGCGGCTATTCATGTCCTAGCCAAGCCAAACATCAACAACCCAGCAATCTTGCCTGAGTGTGTCAAGGTGGTCTGGATCGACGCAGGAAAGAGAGGGGGCAGCAGCAAAGTTATCACCACCTTAGAAAACATCAAACCCCTGTATCAGGCTCGCGCAGGTGGTTTCAAAATTGATGTTGTCATCGTCACACACTGGGATGGTGACCACTATGGCGGCTTCAACTCGTTCATGGAACAGACTGCTATGGTCGAAACCTACTTCCGTTTTGGCGTCGACACACCCCGAACCAAATTCCTGACATCGGCATGGATGATTGATAAATGTTCAGGGTTTGTGAAGGGTGTCAGAGGCAACGATGGCACGTTGAAATTCAGAAATATTGTGGTTGCTGATGTTTACTACGGAACAAGCCTGCTAGGCGCCGACATATTTTCAGACACAGATCTGGAGAAGGACTGGCCTGGTCAGCTGACTCCAGGTTCTGTAACGAATATCGACGTCTTAACTCAGGCCATGGCTGGTGGAGGACGACCTGCCATGTTCTGCGTTGCCATTGAGGGGAAACTGATCGGTCCTTCATCAAATCAGACTGGAGTCGCGGCTGGGATCATGTGGCCAGATAAAGTGACTTTGACGAACGAGGCTTCCCTCGCGGCCGTCATTGCCTGGCCTAACGGCAGAGTTTCGCATTACTTCGCAGGCGACTTGAACGCAGCAGCAGAGTCTGCCCTCGTTGCATGGCTCAGACCAGCCTGGGACAGCGGTGGACGCATTCCTTCCATGAAATGTAGTCATCATGGAGCGTGTAGCTCTACGCCGACAACTATGATCGACAATTTCAGACCGTACAACATCATTATATCGGCCGGAAGCATGCATAACCACCCAGGTGATTTGGCATCCCCGACTGCTGCCTGAATTTAGCTAACCACAGTTTGTCGTGTGTCTAGATTGGGAGCTACTCATGTACATTGCATGCTATTTTGCAAAGTCCAAGGCAGATCGCGGTCCTCTTTTATTGACATGCTATCCTCGGTGGATGGAAAGTGATTGGGTTGTAAAAGTCACACAATTCAATCTATGGTACTTTGGTACCGAAGCGGACAAGGTCAAAGACGCTGATCGGCGGGACAAGATCGCGAAATACACCGCAATAATGGACGCGGAGAATTTCCGGCCCTGGCACGATTTGAAAGCCAGACTGAAGACAGCAGGCTTCTCTTTGAACAAAGCTTTTGCAGAACTCTTAACTGTTCTCACCACCCACGTCGGCAGTATATTTGCCCATCCGAACATTGACTCGAATTTGATCCGAGGCGAAAATGCGCTCATATATCTCAAAGTAGAGTCGGTCGAAAATGCTGAGATGGACGGACGCAGATCTTCCTACTATATCGAGGATGAGGACATAAAAATGTACGATGATCCAGACCGCAATCCCACGCTCTCAGCACCGAAAGTTAGGGATCTGGGCATTTACTCACGTACTCGGCGGAAAACGGGAGCTTCGATTCGTTTGAAGCTGCTGAGTTTGAAAGCGGATATGAAGCCAATTAAAAAGAAGGCGGTTGTGGTGGCATTGAAGAACAAGAAGAAAAAGCCCAAAGGGACAATTGGGATCTTTGCTCAAATGGCAAGCAGACCTCTGCCTTTGTTGAGCTCAACATTCATATCTACCATGGCCTTAGACGACAATATCCCCACTGCTATGGCTGAGGCGACATCTTCCTCTGGATTCACCATTATAGCAAGCACAAACGATCTAGCGGTCTCTGCAAACGAAGGTATCAAGTTACAGGATGCAGATGAACTAGACAACTTCGTTTCGATGCTACGGACCGCATCGATCAGTCTGGAGAAGAGACCGACAGCCGAACCAGTCTCCTTGAAGGCCACAGACAGCATCATGTTGTGGATGAAGATTACTCTTCAAGCAACAGACATGAAGTTGACAGGCGAAGATTTCCGCAACCTCTCCATCATCACCTCCCATAACATCACCTTTGATACTGCATGTGCAGCAGGGGCTCTGAAGCTCGACTCGGGACCTGGAAAACTTCGTCCTGATGGTCTACTGCCCGAGTTCAGCCACACTGTCATGGTTTTTGGGCTTGTCAAACCAGTGTCCCCTTCTATCTGGTCATTCAAAGAGATATGTGATTATCAGACACAGTTGTGCCCAGGAGCCACTGTCAACAAAGCAGGTGGCCTCGATATCATCAAAACAGCCTTCGGAACGACACAATGGATCCTAAGCGCCGAAGATGGCAACCGCAGTGCTGTTTGGTTTGCCCCTGATGTCAATTACAACACAAGTCTACGCTTGGAGTTTACGCCCAGTGACAGTATATCAGACAGCTTCAACTCTCTCATGAGGGACTTTTGGCCGCCGTCTATCAAGTTGGAAATTCAACAACCCACACTGATTGCTCGCTGCGAATCATGGATCGGGACAGACTTTTTGGAGAACGGCCAAACAACTACCAACGTCAAAGTTCTCTCCCGCACCGGTTTGATGATTACGGCGTTGCTAGTCACCAAGATCGAAGACGCCGATCTTAAACTGCAAGTAAGCTTAGCACTGGACAATTCGACAGGCATAACTTTCACCGTCACCTCTCAGGACAAGTCCAATGATGTGAAGAAGTTTGGACAAGCTCTAATTGACAAGATCTCGGGTGTCGACTTACCGAAGCTGGACCGGGCCGTTCCTCAGGAGATAACCAAATCTGGAAACGACGTGGATGACCAAAGCCGTGTTATGTTCCGCCAGCTACAGGTTTTTCTAACCGACAGAGGCAAATTCAGCGGGATCAAGCTAGGGATCGAAGTAGATGCTGCGCTCGGAAGGGAGGCCAATGATGAGAACCTCGACCATATCTCCATTTATCTAGAGGGAGGTTATCGTGTGGGCAGAACAGGAGGATTTTACTTGTCAGGCAAACTATGGTTTCCGATCGACCTAGGGCCAGACCTTCGTGAAGCCGCCTTCAGCGACTGGGAGAAATCAACCAGTCTCCAGATCCTCACGCCCAAACCTGCGGCATGCCTGTCGTTGAAGAGTTTGCTTCCAGACGCACTCGATTTGGACAACTTTCCTTCCAACATCCCACAGTTCGTCACAAATGCTCAATTCCGTGTGGCTTCCAAGTACGTTTCTGTCTCTGCGACGATAGAAGCCTGTGAATCTTACCAGGATCCCGGAGGAGCTGCGAACCTCCCATCCTTGAATTTCGAGGAGGTGTCACTGAGTGCGACATGGGACCATGGAGCCATCGATGTGAACCTCGAGTTCCGCATAACTCTCACTGGCCCGGATGACTTGGGACCCCGACCAACTTGCACGAATGAGCTAGTGGGATTCCTTTCATATTCAAGGTCAAGCCCCAATGCTGGAGCTAATGCTTCTGCGGACTGGTCCATATCGGGCTCGATTCAAGAACTGAGTCTCGGTCTGCTCTACGAATACTTTACGGAAGAGTCACGGGACGTTCTGTACGACATTCTAAAGGAGATTCAGCTCCAGGATGTATTGGTCGGGTACAGCTCTCAAGACAATGTGCGCACATTCGAAGCTCGAGGAACAATCTTGATTGCGGGCAGTGTTGAGATTAGCCTGAGCTATATCAGAAAGGCAGCCAAGGACGCTGCTAAGCGCGATTGGACTTTTGAAGCAAAAATCGCCAAGAAAATCGAGCACAAAGTCTCACTCAGAGATGTGGGACGCGCCATTTTCGGGCCTGACAGCACATTCATCAACGGGCTTCCGTCCTTCCTGGGAGATGCCGAAGTTCTGAGTCCCGATACCCCTCCAGTCTTTTCTTTTCACCTTGAACCAGGGACTACGGGTGAAACGGGTGAAGTCCAGTTCAAGCTTGAGCTCGGGATTGGGAAAGTGAAAGCCACATTCGTGCAGTTGCATGATCCGACGAGAATAGCTGCGAAGCAAGGACCGATCCGATACTTTCAACTCACCTATACTGGTCTCAAAGTACCCGACGAGATTCCTCTACCAACAACATTCAGCGTTCCCTTTGATGAAATGCGATTCTTCTGGGTCAATGCCGCTCTGGAATTCCCTGCTCAAGTCAATGCTGTCAACGCGTTATTGCAACCCAGCGTACCAGCAGCCAAGAGTCCACAAGGTGGGAAACCGACAGGTCTCGCTGAGGGATTTCACTTTGCTCTCGCAGCCAAAGGTCAAATGATCCTAGACTACCCTGTCGGGAAAACGGCTCAGAAGAAGTCACCTGATGGAACTGGCGCCACGCCGCCGGATCCAAAGAAGGGGGATCCTCCTCTTGGTCCGGACGTAGCTAAGAGCGCCAAAGCACCATTCAAGAACACGCAAGGCCCGCTTACCATCAGTCAAGTAAGTTTTGAATATTCAAAGAATTTCCTGGGCGTTCAGTTCGACGCTACATTCTCAATGGGTCCATTGGCCTTTGCCGTGTTTGGATTCAAGCTTAGCATGAATTTCCAAAACGGCATCAATATTCAGAATATCGACGTGAAAGATATTTCCGTTTCCGTTGCTGGATTGGCTGCTTCATTTGACAAGCCACCACTGAAGATTGAGGGAGGTCTGATCCATCAGGAAGATGTCGAGCGTGAACTCTACGTCGGCGGTATAACCATTGGATTTGTCCCGTGGTTGTTCCAAGCCGCGGGTTTCTATGGTCGAAAGAAGAAGAACAAGATCACAGGATTGGGCGATGATTACATGAGTGCGTTCGTCTATGCAATACTCCGAGGACCTCTCATCACCTTGGAATTCGCAACCATTTCAGGCATCACGGGTGGATTCGGCTACAATGTGGGCATAAACATCCCAGACATCAAAGACATTCCGCGGTACCCCTTGATAGCGCCAGCTTCAGCCGATTCAACCATCGTCGACACGCTCACAAACCTTCTTCAGCCACCCGGCGGGGGAACGCCGTGGTTCTTCCAGGAGAAGGATGCAATGTGGCTCGCCGCGGGGCTGACTGTGTCAGCCTTTGAGATGCTGGATGTGACGGCTGTACTCATTGCGCAATGGAGCCCCCGCCTACAATTCCACATTCTTGGTCTGGCGTCTGCAGATATCCCCAACGCAAAGTCCCCGTACAAGTTCGCTCGAGTAGAGTTGGGCTTCAAAGCCAGTCTGGATCCGGACGCAGGCCGCTTTAGTGTTGAAGCACAGCTATCGCCCAACTCTTATATTCTCGATCCTAGCTGTCACCTGACTGGCGGTTTTGCGTTATACTATTGGTTTTCTGGCCCGAATAAAGGAGACTTCGTCTTTACCATCGGTGGATATCATCGCGCATATGAAGTGCCCACCATATATCCGAAGAACATTCCCCGGCTCGGCGTCAACTGGGCATTGGGAAGTAACCTGAGTGTGACAGGCGAGGCATACTTTGCGATTACGCCCAAGGTCTGTATGGGTGGGTTGCATATTAACGTAACTCTCTCCATGGGTCGATTGCGAGCCTGGTTTGATGCTTATGCAGATTTCCTCATGAACTTCGCACCATTCAACTTCCAGGCAGTAGGACACGTCAGTGTTGGCGTTTCTTTTGACATGGAAGTGTGGTTCATTCATGTGCACATCGCCATTGAGATCGGGGCTACGCTTTACATTCAAGGTCCACCTGTACGTGGCAAGGTGCACGTCGACTTTTGGGTGTTTGGATTCGATGTCGAATTCGGTTCCTCACAATCCGCCAATGAAGAAACACTTGACCTGAGTCGCTTCTATAAACTAGTCCTCGAATCTGACTCCAAGATGGCGCAGTCCGTTGCCACGCCGCCTCACGTTTACCTATGCCTGTCCGGATTGCTCGGCGACAGGGACGGCCCGGGCAAAGCGTTCAACGCACCATGGAGTGTCAGAGGAGGGCCACTCAAGTTTAGCATCGAAGCCAAGTTCGCCATGGACTGTGCATTGATCAATGGCAAAGGTTGCAAACCGCTTCCAGAGGAAAAGCACGAGATCTTTGCTAAGCCTATGAACCTCAAGAAAGCGCTGACATCTACACTGCATGTTTCAATTAAGCATGTGGATAGTGAAGAGGAGAGAAAGGATTGGCGACTCAGACCTGCTTTCAAGGCAGTTCCGAATGTCATTTGGGGAGCGTGTAAGTTCTCTTCTTGCCACAGGTTGCGCAGTTGTAAGTGACGCATCAGTGTGCTGACTCTAGTCCTTGATTACCTTAGATGATGAAGCTTCGGATCCTAACCATGGATCTGGTAACAACTCCATCGGTTCCCTTCTGAACGGATCTGATTCTTTTGTCTCGCTCATGATGGGTGTGGAGCTTCAATCTCCAGTACCACATGTGTCAAAGGATTCCTTATTGCCCTTCGATGTCGAATCAGCCATGGTTAGCAACGTGAACCCCCCAGGCAAAGATGCCGGCGAGCCTGATGAGATAAACTGGCCGTTATTTCCTACATCAGAGCACCAGGATGATCGTTGGACACCCGCCCAGAGTCTCCCGAATCCGAACCTCGTGAAAGATCAGCCAAAACAACAATGGGATGCGGTGGAAAAGTGTTGGTCAGCAGTCGATGCAAAATCACTCGTCGGAGTAGTAAATACGTGGTCCGATTTCCTTGGATGGGAGAGGGATGTGGTCCCTGCTAAGAAACCAGAATTCTTGATACGCCGGGTTTCAGAGAGGTATCTGGAGGCGCCGCATATTTGTTGCTAATTTCACGTACACGGAACTGTCTCTGAATGATATTCTTGAGCCAAGTAAGCATTGTAGTAGTGCGCTTGAAAATTTGCAGTGAGAGGTCGCACGCGTCCTGAGATCTAGCCGACAAACTTCTCATTGCCGACAGGATGGCATGACCATTAACAGATTGTCCTTGAGTCATCTCCGACCCAAGTCGTTCCATCGCTATATGATGTTCGCTCAGTTGGCACATGAATTTGTGGAGTTTTTCAACTCCTCTAAGCGCCTTACCGTTATGTCTTGCAACATGGACCGGCAATATCGCTAATGTGAAGAAAGCATTTTCTAGCCAGGTCTTGTTTACGGAGAGAGCTCTCTTGAGAGTGGTAACTCTTGTTCGCCCAGATTCATCGCTTGGTATTGTTGACAGCGCTCCTTCGATGAAAGGACTTCTTTTCCAGTGTAGCAGCGAGTAATGTCGAAGATCAAGCCGGTTGTCCGGTTGAGAGGGGACGGCATCGAAGTCCTACACACCGGTTTCGGAACCTAGATTCTCAGTAGTAGAAGAACGCAGCGACCAGGGAAAGTTAACTTTGCAAGCAGCTTGACATCATGCTCCTCTTTTGCAAGAGAACAAATGAGAACGAAACAAAGATGGGCCAATAAGAGAAGAATAGTGCGGCCAGTGTTGTGGAGCAGTATACGAACTCCCCATCTGCGTATAAAATCCAACCATATCCCGATTTGGAGCCCTGAGAAGAACAGCGGCTCATAATGAAGTCAATGATCGCTCTTTAAAGCAATAGGTCGCGGCTAAACCGATGAGGGCGATGGCTACCAATGGTCAAGAGCTCTCCTTTGTTGTGGGAAACCCGTCATAAATGGAGTACTCTTGTAAAGAAAGAAGGGGCTGTTGATGCCTCGCGAAAGTCTCTTTTGGTAGCTGGCACGTTGTAGGTACCACTAGAGTTAAAACGCAAGCGTCCACAAAGAAAAGAGTTCAGACGAAAGCCCCTTATGAATACCCTAGTCGAATACTTAGTGTCATGGCTTGCTTCGCCCACGTATCGCAGCTACGAACCTTGCTCATAGTCGATTTCCAACCCCAAAAGTCACCGAATTTACTCGAACCGTCTTTCCCTCGACCCATACAATGTTCTTCTGTCATAAAACTTTCCAATAAGCGGCTGTTCTTGACGCGATTCGAGTGAGCCTTGACCTCCTTGTGTTTCTCCTCAGTCTGTAGCAGTGCATACTGGCCGTTGAGGTTAATTTTTGTCATGATGATCGTAAGAGCCTTAATGTAGCTCATTCTCACCTCATTGGGGGCATTTTAGTACATATTTTCTATACTGATGAGATGCTGGTCAGTGAACTCGAGTGTGTGGACCTTAGGTACGATGGGCATTTCACTTATTTGAGATTAGGCTGACCAAAGCGATGTCAAGTCCTATCTGACATGGACTATTCATTCACTGGATCATCCAAGCACAAAATTCAGAACAATTATGATTATTATTGGGACTGCCATCGAAGGCATGTTTAAGTCTATGACCACACTCTTATCCAAGTCTTCGTTTTATGCAATTTTACCCCGGCGAGCCATCGGCTCAAACCAATGCGAATGAAAGAAACCAAACACCTGACCTCTCCTCTAATAGCGCCGGAAGAAACAACTCTAAGTAGAAGATAAGAAGCCACAGAGAAAATTACGGGCACCACATTTCAACTTTGACGCCACGAAGCTCGTCCATGATACCAAAGTCCAAACCATGTTGACGGAAAGCGACGATAATCATGTCGAACGTCTCAAGGGTCTCCTTGTTCCACTTCTCATCAGCCAAGCGAGGCGCGACAGGCACGGCGCTCTGCTTGACGAGGGGATCCGCGTACATGACATCGACCTCGCCTGAGCGGACAAAGGCCTTGACGAGGTCAACACCCGGTGAGTTGCTCAGGACAGACTGGCCGGCCTTGAAGCCCACACCGACGACGAGAACACGAGGCCGTACTAGAGCCGAGGCAGCTCCAGCTTTGGCATCTCTCGTCAACGAATCGATAGCGCGGCGGGCAATAGCGGCGGGTCGCGCATTCATCTTCTCGGCGGCGGCTTCCAACAAGGGGAAAGCGCTGTTGGAGAGGAGGTAGTACGGGTTAACGGGGATGCAGTGGCCACCGACGCCGAGGGAAGGGGTGTAGGGCATGTAGCCAAAGGGCTTGGAGGCGGCGGCGGCAGCGACCTCGTAGGGATCGATGCCATGGGGGATGCAGGCGTCTGCCATTTCGTTGGCGAAGGCGATGCACATCATGCGCTGGCAGTTCTCGTAGAGCTTCATCATCTCGGCGACCTCTGTGCGGCTAACGGGCACGAGGCGGTCAAAGACTTGGTTGTAGAGGCGCATGACGGAGGCCAGCGACCCGGGGATCTCGTCGTCGAGGCCAGAGACGATCTTGGGGATCGCGTGGCAGGGGGGCTCGATGCGTCCTGGGTCGACGCGCTCTGGAGACATGCCTGCGTAGAAGCCGTGAGCGGTGGCGACGGGGCCGAGAAGGCTGCGGGTCATGCCTACTGCGACGGAGCTTTCTATTACGACGGTGGAACCCGGTCGTGCGTGCTGGGCGACTGTGGCGATGGCGGACTGGAGGTAGGAGGTGTCGATGGACTTGTCCGCCTTGAGAAGAGTAGGGACGGAGATGAGAAAGTGGGTGGCCTCGTGGAGGTCTGCCTTGGAGGTTGTGAAGCGAATGCGTTCGCTTGGGAGCTCCTCACGGATCTCGCTGATTCTCTTCTCTGACACATCGAAGCCGAGGACGTCGTAGTGGGCAGAGAACGACTCGACGAGGTGAGTGCCGACGTAGCCGACGCCGATGACAGCCACGAGGGGTTGGTCATTGGGGTCGACGACGGGAGAAAGGTCGCGGACACGGTCGTTGTGAGAGAAAGGGTGCTCCTTGTACTCTGGCGGGGGCGTGACAGGTGTGAGGGGGAGGTCAAAGTTGGCCTTGAAGGTGTCGAAGCCGGGAAGGTTGAGGCCCAATGCTTCAGGAGGAGGTGTAGGAGGTGCCGGCACAGAAAGGCTGCGGCTGTGGAAGGATGGCTTGTCGATGGTGACCCTCATTTTGAAGAGTTATTATGCAAATAATGAGAAGGAAGCGAAGTCGAAGTGATAGAGACAGATGAGGAAGAAGTATCACAACTAGAGTTCTCTATCGATCTGGACTTCTGGAGATGATGTTCTTCTATGATCTTGTGTGAGTGGATGAGGAATAGGAATGTGTAGATGCGGACTTGAAGGTGGGATTATATGGAAATCTTTGAGGCTGGAAAAGGGATTGGAATCAGATGCAAAATGAAGTTGCGTAAAGATCTCCATCAAAGTTTTCCCAGCTCTGCTCACTCCTGCCAAGATGTGCTGCAAATTTCCTCCTCCACGCAATCGGTTGAATGCCCGATGAGCGTAGCGAACAAGTTCGGACGAGTACGGTGGAATAGTCAAGCTCTCGCCATTCCCAATACGGAATACCAGACCGAGAAAACGCCATGAAGTTGAAAACTTCTGCATCGTGAAATTAGGGGGCAAAAGAAAATAACGCTGTTCAGCCTCATGGCTCAGTTCCGGTAGTGGATCTTGGCAGAAGCATACGCACATTGTTGTAATAGCGTACCGCCAAAAATGAGAGATTTCGAGATTGACAACGCTGATTGTGTCAACCGTCAACGGTTGACGGACTCATTGGCATCTGAGCACAGTTCACCTCTGCTTTCTTTTCCTTATCAGTGTGGATCGTATTAGTGGCATCCATGGTATGCGAATCCATATTGTATGGTACCCCCATCCATGGCAAACCGAGTTCTTGATCGGGAAGTACCGAATGCCACTCTTCCAGGGGAAAGAATTGGGGAACGACGCAGGTATATGTTCAGCCTCATTACCTATTTGGGAGGCGGCAGTTGATGGTGTGAAGGAGAATACTCATGAGAGTCCACATAAAGCTTATTAGTGTTGTTCTAGTCCGGGGTGTGGGCGGAAGTATGTGGTGTGGAGGAAGTTGAAAGGCGGATGTTGAGGGGGTGGAGTCAGGAGCAAATTCGTCTAAGCGATGAGGAAAGTGACAGACCGGATATGCAACTAGAGCGTAGAGCGCTAAGCCCCGGGGAACACACCTTTCACGACAAGCGCGGCAGGCAAGCCACATGGCGCCCCTAGTATTCCTTTTTTCTGTCTCGTTCCTGCGTCAACTCCTTTTCTCTGCAGTTATCTTCATGCAACGTCCGTTGACTAAGATCGTGTGTCTTGATCAAATCAAGGCTTACGGCAACGCCGTCGGCCGTTGCTTCGACTTGTCCGATTCCATTTTTCGTGGCTTCATCGAGTTTCTTCCTGCGGACCGTTGAGCTTAGGCTCGGTACCTGTACTCAATACGTTCTCCATTGCCTCAAGAACATGGATATGAGAACCAGGATGTATCATTCAGCTTCTATCAACTGGACAGGCATATTCCAGCACTGTCAGCTGCCAAGACTACATTGACCGTGCTGAACGTCCCTGGGCGGTGGACAAGCACAGGGGCTCCGAGGTAAGGCTGCCAGCTAGCCAGTCACAGCTTTAGCAACTAGTAGCCGCTAGAAACAAAAGGTTTGATGACACTTGGCATCGCCGGCAGTAAAACAATGTCCCCCAGATAACCCATTCCCAGAGGTTTGGGGCCCGTCCCGAATCCTTCGTCCCTTTCCTGGAGGGTCTTGTCTCACGTCTATCCCAGCAAAGGATATGATCAGCGCAGTCAAGAGATTCCCCAAGATCCAGCCAAGCTTCAGGGTCTGGACCTGCATCTGGGTTCTAGATCTCTTTACTTTTATATCGAAAACTTTATGACTCCGGATCAAAATACATCATGGAGCTGTCGTATTGTCAAGTAACATGAATCAGTTCAACGTGCCCTAAAAGACGACATGAACAGCAAACTTGTTCCATCGGACAATCCCGGCCGACTGACAATACGCTTTGACACATATGTACTGGCGTCAAACA